CTTTTCTTTTCTTTTCTTTTCTTTTCTTTTCTTTTCTTTTCTTTTCTTTTCTTTTCTTTTCTTTTCTTTTCTTTTCTTTTCTTTTCTTTTCTTTTTTTCTTTCTTTTTTTTCTCTTTTCTCGTTTCTCTTCCCTTTCTTTCTTATTTCTCTTCCCTTTCTTTCTTATTTCTCTTCTCTTCTCTTCTCTTCTCTTCTCTTCTCTTCTCTTCTCTTCTCTTCTCTTCTCTTCTCTTCTCTTCTCTTCTCCTTCATTCTTTCTTTCGCCGACCACCATGTATTCTGGGCTGTTGTTTATCCTTACTTTCTACCTAATTTTGACAAAATTTGAGGGTTTTATTATTGTCGTTTGGCCGTTTTGGGGCCGGGAAGGCTGTCCCCAGTCCCATCCGGCGGGCGAGAGGGGAGGGCGCTGCTCCTCGTGGACAGGGGCAGGGCAAGAAGAGGGCCCGGGAGGGGCAGGGAAAGACGGGGCAGCGGGAGGACAGGGCCAGGGGCAGGGCGAGCCAGGGGCAGGGCCGGGCCAGGGGCAGGGCGAGGCAGGGGCCGGCACTCCCACTCCACCCGCGCACCCTCCCTCCCGTGGGAAGGGGAGGCGGTGGGGGCTGGCTGCTCCCCGTCACTCCTTGCTGCGAACGGTAGCCGTGACCGAACGCTACTTTCCCTAGTGGAGACTCTGACATTCACCCTCATCCGTTCCCTCTCCAGCATCCTCCGTGCCCCACACCGGTGCCCTCGCCCGTTCTGCGGGGAGCCTCGTCTCGGGTCGGGCCGGGCGCGGCAGCAGCGGGCTCTGCCCTCGCCACGAGCAGCTCATGAAATTTTCATGATCTTGCAAGAAAGTGGAAGCCAGGGTTTCCAACCCGTCTGTTTGTCCCCGTTGATAGGAAAGTATTCCCGCGTGAAGTGGATGGATGGGAGCTGCCGGTCCCACGACAGGCTGCGGGGTGGGACCCCGGCGGCCGCAAAGCGCCCTTCATCCTGCCTGGCTGGGGGGAAATTGGGAAAATCCGGAGATTTCATGTTTTTCATTTTTGCAGTTTTCGGTGGCGCAGTGAGAACTCGGCGGCACTGAGGAAATGTGGCCGTGCTAGCTGAGCTCTCCCGGCCCACCGGTTCCAGGAAAGCCTGGATAGGGCTAGGCAGGGGTTACTGCTGATTTTTCCTTGCAAAACTGATGCGAGAGCCCAGGGAAAGCCGGGCAGCGCCGGGCACACCGCCTGCGGCACGGCCAGCCTGGCAAAGGAGCAGCGACCTCTCCCCTCTCCTCTATCCTCCGCCAGCAGCTCCAAGGCGCTGGTAAAGCTGCCTCAAAGGCTTCACTTGGAAAAAAAAAAGTGATGCCGGGTGTGAGCAGGAGGCACATGGGTCGCGGCGATGTGCCCAGGCTTTGCCCACGGGGTAGCGTCGCTGCCAGACCTTCCCCGGCAGCACGGGCAGGGTCTGCCTGCAAATGTGGGAATCGCTGTAAGCACGGCGAAATTCGGTGCATGCCTGCGTTTTGCAGGCAGTAATTCCACGCTGGGAGAGCGGGAGGTGCAGCACCTCCCTTGGCTTCCACTACTGCTCTGGGCATTTTGGCTTCTCAGTAGCACCTCGGGGTTTGTTGTTTTGGTTTTTTGTTTGTTTTTTTTTTTTTCCCCGAGTGTGGGGGAAAGCTGGAAGGAGGGTTTGCTCGGAGGAGCCACACAAACAATCCAGGAGCCCGGCCGCGGAGCCTGCCCGCTGCCCGCCGGCCGGCGGGGGTCGGCCGCAATCTCCCTCCCTCCTTCCCCGTACTGAGCTCCCGGGCTGTCATTCCGTTTCCAAAGTTCTGAGAGTCAAAAGCGCTGAACGAAGGGCAAGATGTGGGGGTTCCGCTGCGCCCGCACACTCACCTATTTGAGGGAGGGAAAACATAAATTTTTTAAAGGGTGGCAGCATGCAATGAGCCTCGTTGAAACTACGCGCAGAGCACAAGGAAAATAAATATGGCTGGTGTGCGAAGAGGTGACATTTGCAGGCTCTAGGTCTGCGAGGGGAGGCTGAAGCAAAGAAGCAAACGAAGCCAAACTCTCATTTTCAAGCCACCTCTCCCGGTGACCCAGAGTGGTTCCCGAGGAAAAGCCCCCGCACGCCGCGATGCCGCTTGCGAGGCGACCGCAGACCGGCGAGCAATAGTGCTGCTGGGGAATGTTTCTACAGAGATTGAGCTCCCAGATAAAAATAACCCTGGAAAGAAAAAAAAATTAGACCGTTCAGATTTCTTCGGTTCGGTATCAGATCACCCCTTCACCCCCCGCTGCCTCTGCATACCTGAGGTGCTGGATTATTGTCAGAGGACAGGCAGATGCAGTAATTGTTTTGTACAGCTTTGTTTATCTCCTGCTTCGGAGTTTACCTTAGGAATTCTCTTTCCTGTCCTATGTAGGGTAAAAATATCCCCGCGAAGGAGCGGGATAACGAATGGGAAGGTTAACACTGTACCGGCAGCGAGCTGGCAGGTAACGAGAGGTTCAAGGAGGTTTAAAGTTTTCATCGGTAACTTGGGTCCGCCCGGGAGCGAAATATTTGAAGTGCAGCACCTTGAACACGTTTAATTATGGGGTAGTAGTAAAGCGAGAGCTTCCAAGTAATTAGAAAATACTTCTTGGGAGACAGGCTAATCGCTTTTCATGGGGCTCTTGAAGAAATTAACCTCTGGGTGCTTGTTTGAGCAAAACAACTTTGGATCAGCCATCTCTGGTCTTTGCTGGTGGACCCGACCCGTTTCGAAATACAAAGAAAATAGAGAGATGAATTTAAAATTAAATACAAAAGAAAGAATAAAGGAAAAGAAAAATTGAAAGAAAAAAGGATAAGAAAAAGGAAAGAAAAAAGGGAAAGAAAGAAAAAAAAAATAAAGGAAAAGGAAAAGAAGAAGAGGCTCACTGTCCCTTTCCTTCAAGGTGGCGAGTGATGCGTGTCACCGCAGGGAAGCCACCTCCAAATAAAAACGTCACTTAAGGGGAGAGCCGGCAGTCGGGATGCGGAGGACCCTGGGGCCGAGCCAACACCTCCCGACCCTGCTCGGCCCTCGGCGGGGCCGCGCAGCTCCTCGGTGTGCGCCCCGTCGGGGCGGTGGCACCGTGAGGGCCCGGACAGGGCTCTGGGCTCGGCTGCGGGGGGAGGACCCGCTCCCGCCTTCCCGCTCCTCTCTCGTTCTGCCGCGGAGGATCCGAGCCCCGCAACCTGTTCAGCCCCCCCCAGCCCTTCGTCCATCCAGCCGCACCTTGCTCCCTAATTTTGTTTCGGGGCATTTCTCCCTAAAGACAAGCAAAGCAGCTGCGGTAGCTTTCCCATTCTAAAGAGGCAAGGGTTTTTGGGGGGTCCAGAGGGTGACGGGCCGGCGTTTTGGGGGGCAGCACGGCGCCGCGATGCCGTTTGGGGAGCAGTCAGGGCAGATCAAAAGCTGCTGTCCGGCTGCGGGAAGGACGAGTCAATTACCGCCGAACCGCGCTGCGGGGAGGGGACGCAACCCCCGAGCAGCCCGCGGGCACCGGGCCGGGCCTGTTCCGCCCCCCCGGACCCCTTTGTATCGCCGCCGCTCGCTTAATATTATTTATGCGTTTCTGCAAGGAATTGTGGGATGCCGGCCCCCCTCCCCCGGTAAACACCGGGGCAATTAAACCCCCGGTAACTCATCGCCGGCGAGGGGTGGGGGGCACGGGCGGGCGGGGGACAGCGGTGCGCTCCCCGCGGCGGGGCACCCCCGGCTCCCCCCCGCGCATCCCCGCGGCGGCCGGGCCCGTCCGGGGGAGGGGCGTGGGCGCTGTCACTTACCGGGGCGCCCCGCACCACGTGTGCGCTCGCCCGGGCTTCCATTGGCCCGAGGCACGTGTCGGAGCGCCCGGGCCGGCGACGTCAGCGGCGGGGGCCCCGTTAAAACCTAAAGGACAACAACCCGAGTGGAAGTGCCCGGGCGCGGCGGCGGCGGCCGCCGGGGCGTAGCGCGGCGCAGGGCGGGCGGCAGGGCAGGGCGGGACGCCCCCCCCACCCGCGGCGGCCCCCGCATGTGCGGGCGCGGGGCGGCGCGGGGCGAGGCGCTGCCGGCCGGAGCCCCGCGGGGCGCCCCTCACCGCCCTGCCCTCCGCGGGACACCGGCTGCTGAGAGCCCGCCTACACCCCGCCCCGGCACCGGCGCTTCGTTTTCTCTCTTGCACCCCCCCTCCGCTCCACAATTATTATTATTTTTATTATCGCTAATTTTTCCTCCGCGGATGAGGCGCGGCGGCGGCGGCGGCGGCCGGGGGAGCAGGCGGCAGCGCGCCGCGGGACCGAGCGGCTGAGCGGCGGCGGGAGGCGGCGAGCGGCGGCGGGAGGACCGGAGCCCCTGTGTTTTCATTTTTTGGCAAAGTTGGAAGTGGTGCAGGCTCGGTTGCTGGCTTGCGGGTCTCCCTGCATTTGTCTCGTAATTTTTAAAAAATTACTCTTAATTTTAAAATTTTTTTCCTTTTTTTTTTTTTTTTTCAAACTCTGGATTTTGAATGCCGGGCGAAGCCAGGAGAAACGAAAGCAAATAGACACCTGTGTGTTCGTGTGTGTATATATATATATATATAAATATATATATTAAAAAAAATTAAAATAAAGAACAACCGACTGCAGCAGCAACAACAGACAGCGCTCGGCAGCGCCCGGTCGGCGGCGGGCGGGCAGCGGAGCCGTCGGCGGGGCGGCCGCGCAGCATGGAGGAGGGCGGCCGGAGCCCCCGGGAGGAGGCGGCCGAGCCGCAGGAGTCCGGCGGCGACGCGGAGCCCGGCGGCGGCGGGCGGCGGGGGCTGCTGCTCCCCCCCGGTGACCCCCCGCACCCCCACCCGCACCCGCACCGCATCACCAACTTCTTCATCGACAACATCCTGCGGCCCGAGTTCGGGCGGAGGAAGGAGGCGGGCGGCCCCGACGGAGAGCCCCGGCGGCCCGGCGCGGAGAGCCGCCGCAGCCCCGCCGCGGCGCCGGCCCCCGGGGCTCCGCTGCCCGGCGGCGGGGCGGGCTCGCCGGGCCGGGGGGAGGGCGGCCCCGCCGGGCTGGCCCTGCACGGCGCCGCCAAGAAGGGGGGGGACCCCGCGGCGCTGGAGGCGGCCCTGAAGGCGCGGGGGCTGAGCGGCGGCGACCTGTCGGTGAGCTCGGACTCGGATAGCTCCCAGGCCAGCTCCAACGCCGGGAACCAGCCCATGCTGTGGCCCGCCTGGGTGTACTGCACGCGGTACTCGGACCGGCCCTCCTCAGGTAAGCGCTGCTCCCCGCTCCCCACGGCCGCAGCCCCTTCCCTGGGCTCCCCGGGTCGCCGCCGCCCGCCCGCGAGGCCGGGAAGCGGCGTGGAAAAGACCCCGCTCCCCTTTCGCTCTCCGTCTTCTCCTGGTTTTATTTTGGCGCTGTTTTGTTTGTTTTGGATTTTTTTTCCTTCTGTTTGGGTTTTGCTTTTTGTGGTTTTTTGGGGTTTTTTTGGCGGGTGGGCGAGTTGCTTAAAATGGCCTGAAAATGCTTGAAGATGAAGGGTCTGCTGGAGGTGCGCGGAGCCGCAGGGACGAGGAGTGAACGGGGGAGCCGAGGCCGCCTGGGCTCGGGGCATTTCCCACCAGCTGACGAGATTTATCAAAAAGGGAGGAAAAAACACCCCTGTCTTAGGGCTCCCCGCTCATCCTCCCTGCAAGCTCTCCTTTTCCCTGCCTGGAAAACCCCCCTGCCCTGGGTTTTGGGAAGGGGAGGTAGCATTTCCATAGGCCTCGCCCTGTTTTGATTAGTCTTTTTTGGCCAAAAAACAATCCGCGATCGCTTATTTCTCTAAACGAGGCCTCCGAGACGCGGCCGTTTCTTTTCTTTCTTTTAATTTCCCCTCTTATGCTGTAGTTCAGCTCTGTGGGGGCCGGAGGACATTTCCAAGAGACGGGAAACTTCTTTGGCAGAGTCTGTCTCTTGGCAAGGGCTTGGGCAGAAAGTCCTGAAATTATCTATAATTAATAAATAAATAAAAAATAACAAGCAGAGGGCAAAACGTCCTTTCGCTACCGCAGGGACAGGAGGGCTGGCTCAGGCAGATCGGTAAAACCCCGCTTAAAAACAAGTAGAAAACACTGGGGGAAGGCATGGGAAACGTCAGGCAGGAGATCTGCTCCCGGAGAAAAGAAAAAAAAATATGGGTCTCTCTTACAAAAGCAGCGAGGTAGGATTTTCACCCGGGAGTCGGCTAGCTGAGGAAGGGATCGTAAAACGCGTTGAAAATTAGTTCGTAATATCTGAAACCAAACTCTTACTCAGAGGTAATATTCAGAGCTGAATTGGAATTTACTCCATTGTTCTTCAGTGCTCTCCTTTGTTAATATTTAATTAACATACATCCTCACAATGGCTCGGCCCGGGCAGAAAAGGCTCCTTGTGCTGCCGAGAATAATATTCCCGAGAATAATCCCGGCGATTCGGATCGGGCCGTGCAGCGCCATATGGGCACTGCAGCGGAGAGACGGAATGCTTCTGGCCAAGTGAACTACAAGAAGATTTCCCGTTAGAATTTTTATCTCCACTCACTAAAAAAAAAAA